CCTTAAATTCCCACTTTGTTCAAAATCCCCAAATTTAATCATCTTTTTCCCAATCTCACCCAAATCCCTAATTTCTCTTCCCAAATTCTCTTCTCCTTTTTCCTTCTCCCTACCCGTGAGCTACCCGAAGCCATCCCACCCCCCACCAACCTGCCCGTCGCACCACTGTCTCGCCACCGCTGGAGCCTCGCTGCACCGCCGCCATCGCCGAGAGAGAGAGAGAGAGCACGAGAGAGAGAGCGCGAGAGAGAGAGAGAGAGTGCAGCGAGAGAGAGAGGCAGCGTGAGTGTGTAGAAGGAGAGTTGTGGGCTTTGTTTGTTGAGCTTTGGATCATCTTCCACCATGCCTAGAAGGTCAAGCTTGGCTAGGAAAGCGGAATGGGTGGATGCCCACTACCTTGTGCTTAAAGGTAAAGCTTTTGATCCAGAATCTTTTTCAAGTTCCTTGTTGGATTTGCTTAAGTTTCAAGGTTTGTTAGATGGGTTTCTCGCCATAAGGGCCGAGACTTACCCGAGTTTGGTGAAGGAGTTTTACCGTCACATGGTTGTGACGAAGGAAGGTGAAAGGCTTGAGATCACCTCTAAGGTGAGACGTGTGAAGGTTGTGTTGTCTGAGAAGAGGTTAGCTCAGTTGTTGAGTTTGTCTGCTACCGGAGTGGCTCAGTACAGTGGTCATTCTTGGATTAGTACGGATGCCATGGGGTACCGTGACTATTTGAGTTATCTGTTTGGCCGTACGAGTGGTTTCACTCAAGCTTCGAGGCCGGAAAAGAAGTGGTTGTCTGCGGAACAAAGGATCTTGGTTATGTTGGTGTCAGATTGTTTGTTGCCTAATAACAACAAGAGCAGTTTGTTGGGTAAGTTGGAATGTACCTTTGCTTTCTGTCTGAAGAATATGGTTAAGTTCAATCTGCCTGCTTTGATGATGCAACACATGGTGTTTTGCCGGGATCACAACCGGAAGAGTTTGCCGTATGGCATGGTGCTAAGTTGGATTTTGGTTAAGAAAGGTGTTAGTGTGGATGGTTGTCTCCCGAAGGCTGTGGGAAAGATGGTGTTGGATACCGCCAATCTCCGAAGTTGTAATCTGTTTCAGTTGGATAGTGGTGAGTACATCACGCTTGAAGAGGTTGCAAGGAAGGCACCTGTTGAGAGAGCAGAGTTAGCTGCTGGGCTTGGGATCCATGCCAGGAAGTTGAGCCTTGCAGTCCAGAGATTGGGTAGTGACGAAGAAGTTGAGGAGGAAGCAGATCAGGAAGAAGAAGAAGGAGCACCGGGGACCGCTGAAGCTGAAGTAAGTGAATCAGACAGTGAGGAAAGTCGGAGAAGGAAAGAAGTTCGCACCAAGAGAGAGCAGGACGTCGCCTCTTTGCTTCGGCAGCAGAACAGTTTGATCGCCGAGGGCTTTGCGTTTGTGAGGTCGCAGTTTGTCGCAGTGCATCAGACGCTGGATCGGTTTGAAGCTAGTTCTAGTCACAGAGATGAAGCCGAAGAAGAAGAGTCTGAAGAGGCCGAAGAGTCGGAGAGTGAGGAGTTCTAGTTGTGTTGTGGTAACCCCGTTCGCTTCTTCCTTGTTGTTTCTTAGCCGTTGTAGCTCGGTGTTAGGTTGTTGTGTGCTTTGTGTGCTTGCTTGTTTTGTTTGTTGCCTTGTTGCTAGCTAGTTTGTTAGTTGGTGTTTGGGTTAGTTCTTGGTTGTTGTCTAGAAGTTGATTGTTGTGTTGAGGTTACAGTTCTTGATGCTCAATCTATCCGTTTGTTAACCCTTTTGCCAATCCTTGAATTCATAATGTCCTCTTCTTTGCTTTGGAACCCTTGTGAGAACTTTTGGAGTTTTTGACCAAAAGGGATATTCTTGAAATTTCTTGTCACAATTTTGTTTCCTTGTTACCTTTCGTTCTTAATTCGTTGTACCCAAGTTTCGGGGACGAAACTTCTTTGAAGGGGGAGAGGATGTGACACCCCAAAAATCTACACTCCAATCCATGAATTAATTGAGTAATTAATTCTATTTCTTTTGAGGAATTGATTCCTAAAATCCTGATTTTTAATACTCAAGGACTAGTATTTGACTAGTCAATCTTTAAGTGGTGTTGTACCTTGTGCTTTAAGAGGAGTTCCCTTGTTCCTTACACTTTCTAAGAGTTAGTAAGGGTATCATTGTCTTTTCACCAAGAGTTAGTTTTGTAACCTAAACCTAGAAGACTTCTTCATTTTCATCCCTTACAATTCCTAGAAAATATCTCTACCTTCTCTCTAGAAAAGAAGAGTAGCTTGTTCTTCAAGCCAAGTGAGACCTTTGTCAAGATTCCAAGTTTTGCTTCCAAGATTCAATCTTTCACCTATTTGGGCATCTAGAAGGGTAAGATCTAAGCTTGTCTAGTCTTTTTGGTTCCATCTTAGTTGTCTTTTTCTTAAAGGTGGGATCTTTATGGTCTTTTGGTTTGATCTTGAAGTGGGTTTGGCTAGTGAGCTTAGTGGAGAGCTTGTTGTGGTGTAAGTGAAGTCTTTTGGTCTTCAAGAGGTAACCCATGCTCTACAAAACCTATTTTGCTTACCTATATATGATTTCTTGGCTTCTATTTGTGTTTTGCTATGAAATGTGAGAGTTTATGCATTTATCTTGTGATATTGCATATCTACAGCTTGTGTTTAGGATTCCTTTGTGCCATTGCTTGGCATTTTCCATGGTTCAAGTCATTTTGTTGTGTTTCGTGAGATTTGGCATGTTTTGGACTTGAAGTTGTGTTTGGAGAAGAAAATCCCCGAAGGGATTTGTTGTGGTACAGGGATGTACCCGCGGGCGGGGCACCACCCGCCGGCCTACCCGCGGGCGGGACCACGGGTGGGGCACTACCCGTGGGTCCACCCACGGGGAACACAGTGGTGTGGTGATGGGATTTGTTCCGCGTGATTTGTTTGTCTCGGTATTTGATCTTTTGGCTTCCCGTTGTTCTTTTGTGGAACTACTTGAGCGTCTTCTTGATGTTTCGTAGGTCTAGAACTATATGGTAGATATCCATGTAGGATCTTTGGTGTCTTGATTCGTGCTAAGTGTTCAACTTTGTGTTTCGTTGAACCAAGAGGTGTCTTGTGAGTTCCTCGAAACTATCTTGAGTTTCCCCGTTGTTAAGCATGCTAGTTCGTTGTCTTTGTACTAGTGTGTGTGTGTGGTTTGTACCTTCCGTTTGGTTGATGATAACTTGTGTTATGCATCGTTGTTGTTGTGGGCTGTGACCCGTTCCTTGATCGAGTGCGTTTCATACCTTCATTGCAATCCGTTGATTGATTCGTATGAGTGGTGGTGCGTGTGTGGCTCTACCTGGATTGCACGATTAGTGGTATGGGACACTAGTCACCAAGGTATTGCAGTGGTCCTCGTGGTGGCCGTGACGTGATTATGGAGTTGTGGCTGAGTCCACGTGATTGGGGGATAACATTGTGTTATCCGGGCATGTGTTGCCGTGATTGGTGGGTTTTCGTTGGTGGTTATAGGTGGGGGACGACGGTCCCGGCGGAATAAGGTTGGACTTGGCTGTACAGGGGATTTCTGGAGGTAATGGTTGGCTTTGAAGGTACAAGGTTGGGGGTAGCCATAAGGTTGGAACAGGGCATAAGGAAGGCATATCAACTCGTGATGGGTGATGTCACGAGGGCTTGTGTAACCGTGGTTGTGTGATCTTCTCTCGTGACGTGTGTAGTCATGGAGGCTTGTGGTGTTTTGGCATGTGTTGCCGTTGAGTGAGTCTTTATCCTTGTGTGTGGTTAACCTTTGTGGTTGGGATGTGTTCCCGGTGTTATTTTTGTGAGCAGTGAGTCTTGTGTTGTCTTGTGATCTTGGTTTTTAACTTATATATATGTATTCCGTTTCGAAAATGGTTTTTATATCATATATCTACTTATTTATGATACTTAACGGTATTGGTGGGTTACCAGCATTATTCGCTGACCGGGCGTCGCCCCGTTGTTTATCTTTGTATCTTTCAGGTGTTGAGTAGTCGAACGCGATGTCTAGAGCCGGTAGCTTAGCACCTGTATCTTTAGACTGTGTTTTTGTGGCCTGCGCGCCAATGGTTTTAGATTGCTTTTAGAGTGATGTTTTGGGATAGTGTGTTACACTTGCAGATTGTCTCCTTAGCGTTACCTAGTGTGGTATACATGGCATAACACCCCTGTTTTGGATTTCTTTTATCCAGTTTCCGTTTTCTTCCGCTGTGCTAGTGTTTTGTTGTTAATCTGCATGTGTTAAGACTTGTTTTTAGGTCTTGTTTTTGGGGGGTGTTACAACTCCACATATAGTAGGTATCCAGGATGTTTTCTAATGAATACAATATCATCAAAATAGGGTCGGATCCCACATAGGACCAAAGTCCACAAATCCACAACCATCCATCATATCCACATATCCTCCAAAAATAGATACATTTTATATATCCTCCAAAAAAAAAATAAGAATAATTATCCAAAAATATATTTTCATAAACATTCTCATTTGCCCGTAGATTATTTAAATCATAGCTTTCAAATAGCATAGAGTATATATAACCCATCAATATCCATACTTTCCAAATTAGTTTTCATCCTCCAAAAAGAATATAATAGTATGCAAAATAATACATTTTCTCTAATTTACACATTTCCTCCAAAAAGATAGTCCTTCAAGAATAAATATAACTTCATATCCTCCAATATAAACATAGTTTCACTCATTTCAATATACTTAGATTTTCAATCAATATTTCTCAAAGTATGAATTTAATCGAACTCTATAGCAAAATTATAATGGGGTTTCAACACAAAACATTTAGACACACCATAGATTATACACCTTTCAAAAATATAGTTTCAACCCATATAAATCGCAAGTCAACACCAAAATAACCATATTTTGATATTTATCACATTTTAAAACTAGAACACATTCTTAAAATAATTGAAGTACACAAATCATATAAGTAGAACATTTAGTAGGGCAAAGTAATTTAAACGGGCATAGAAACTTACCTCAAACTAAGCTCCAAAAGTACTAGCATCCAATCCTAAGCTTTTCTCTTGAGCTAGACATTTCAAAAGGAACCCAATTGTCTGAATCACTGCCACCGTTGCTACAACAGAGATCCCGTCACCGGTTACCATGGCTCCTCCTTTGTTGGAAAAGGAACACCTACGCCACTGTTAACTCTCCCAACACACAGCCAGTCCACGCCACAGCCCACCGAAATCTGTCAACACCGGAAGGGGAAGAAGGACGACGGGTCTACTATGTTCGTCGGAAAACAGGGAAGAGGGAAAGGACCTCGCCAGGCTTGTCCCGTCGCCGCCGCACTACCCACGTCAAACGACCGAGAGAGACACTGTCTGGTCTGCTCGCTGCTAGCTGGTCGAAGAGGAGGACGCCGGGGAAGAGCTCACCATTGCTCAGCATCCCCAAATAAATAAGAGTCGATCTGCTGTTGCTGGACTTCATCGCGAGGCCGGAGAAGGAGGAATCCAAGTCCATCGTCGCTGCTCACTTGCCGCCGGGAAGAAGCCTCGCCAAAAAGAAGCAGAGGTCGCCTGTTGTTATACGCTGCTTGCCCAGGAAGAGAAATAGACGAGAGAGATAGAGGATGGCAAAATAACTAGGGTTATGGATATTTTTAGAAAAAATAAAAATCTGATTTTCCTTTTTGAAGTTGGGCCAAGAAGTGTAAGCTTGAGTATTTATGGGCTTGGGTTATGATGTTAGACTTAAATATAGTTAGGTTATTTGGGCTCAAGAAAATTAAATGGACTTAGGGATTGATAGACATAAAATGATTCTTGCAGGCTCATCTCAAAAATTAAGATTGTAAAATAAATTTTACTTTCAAAACAAATTGATTTGATTACACTAAGGTGATTTAAAATATCGGGGTGTCACACAAAGGGCCCCGACCCCGCCTCCGGCTCCCTCAAGGGGGCATAATGGCCCGAGCCGACCACCTCACGCGCCCGACACCCCGGTCGAGGGTAGGCCAACTCGCCCCGACCCCCGATGCCGGGCCTCAACAGGGACATCACCACCCACAGGCACGCCGTCGACCCCACAATCAAGCCGGTGCAACAACGCGAGAGGTACCTCTCCGCGGAGAGGACGAAGCTCATGAGGAGCTCTTGACATTCCTTAACGGTAGTATCGGGGGGACGCCCCCGCTCACTACTAAGGGACCTAGTCGGCCCAACCCCTCAACCTTGGTCCCGAATAAATCTCCAAGATTGCCCGGGTGGAGGACCTCAAGATGTCCAATTCATAAACCTACCTGGTCCTCCCCGTGCAAGCTTGAGCTCCGTGCAAGCTAGACCACCTTAAGGAGTATAAGAAGACAGCCGTCCACCCCAAGACGAGGTGGACCTACTTGGCTTGGTCCCTCAACCTCGACCTCGAACACATTTCCAAGATAGCCAGGGTGGAGGACCTCAAGACGCCAAAAAGAGAGATGATAGATATAGTATGGAACTCCGAGCCCCTGCTCAAGTACTTCCAGTATTTCTATCTTGTAAGGTGGTCCGTCCCCTTAACTTTAATAAAAGCAGTAAAAATTCGTCGTAGACTCATTTTCACTACTCGTAGAAGGGGTGGAGGGTACCCATCCAACCTCTTCAGTTACCCTAAGGGGGCACAAGGCCCGACTTTGCGTACCAACCCCGACGGAAGAGCTTAACGGCCCAAGTCCGGTGACTTGGGGCCGACAGGCTTACCCTAAGGGGGCACGAGGCCTGACCTCGCGTACCAACCCTGACGGAAGAGCTTAACGGCCCAAGTTCGGTGACTTGGGGTCGACAGGCTTACCCTAAGGGGGCACAAGGCCCGACCTCGCGTACCAACCCCGATGGAAGAGCTTAACGGCCCAAGTCCGGTGACTTGGGGCCGACGGGCTAACCCTAAGGGGGCACGAGGCCTGACCTCGCGTACCAACCCCAATGGAAGAGCTTAACTGCCCAAGTCCGGTGACTTGGGGCCGACGGGCTTACCCTAAGGGGGCACGAGGCCCGACTTCACGTACCAACCCCGACGGAAGAGCTTAACAGCCCAAGTCCGGTGACTTGGAGCCAACGAGCTCACCTTAAGGGGGCACGAGGCCCAACCTCGCGTACCAACCCCGACGGAAGAGCTTAACGGACCAAGTCCGGTGACTTGGGGTCGACGGGCTACCCTTAGTGGGCATGAGGCCCGACCTCGTTCGCCACCTGACGGAAGAGTTCTTAGACCAAGGGGGTACCTTTACCAAGAAGAGGACGGCTACCTCATGAGCTCGCCTAAGAGAAGGACGCATCAAGGGGGCTACCTCATGAGCTCGCCCAAGAGGAGGACGACTACCTCATGAGCTCGCCCAAGAAGAGGACGCCCAAGAGGAGGACGACTATCTCATGAGCTCGCCCAAGATGAGGACGGCTACCTCATGAGCTCGCCCAAGAGGAGGACAACTACCTCATGAGCTCTCCCAAGAGGAGGACGCATCAAGGGGGCTACCTCATGAGCTTGCCCAAGAAGATGACGGCCGAGAGGAGGACGACTACCTCAAGAGCTCGGCCAAGAGGAGGACGACTACCTCATGAGCTTGCCCAAGAGGAAGACGCATCACAGGGGCTACCTCATGAGCTCGCCCAAGAGGAGGACACATTAAGAGAGCTACCTCATGAGCTCGCCCAAGAGGAGGACGACTACCTCATGAGCTCGCCCAAGAGGAAGACGACTACCTCATGAGCTCGCCCAAGAGGAAGACGACTACCTCATGAGCTCGCCCAAGAAGAGGACGCCCGAGAGGTGGACGGCTACCTCAAGAGCTCGCCCAAGAGGAGGACGCATCAAGGGGGCTACCTCATGAGCTCGCCCAAGAGGAAGACGACTACCTCATGAGCTCGCCCAAGAAGAGGACGCATCATAGGGGCCACCTCATGAGCTCACCCGAGAGGAGGACGGCTACCTCATGAGCTCGCCCAAAAGTGAACTCAGAAATCAAAGTCTCATACATGATGCCTAGGAGTCCAAGACTTGTTAGTGTTCTTGAGGAAGAGAAGAAGTCCCGATCGCGATGGAATCACACCAAAGGCCGCCAAAGAGGAAGGAGGGGGGGGCGGACGCCTTCCCGTGGGCTTGGGGTCGACCTTCGACTCGGGCTACTCTCCTTCGTTGACGACGACCCGCAACTCGGAGAGTAGGGGGACTGATGATGGATATATTAGGCATGAGCCCGGGGCGAACCGACCTGGGAGGGCCGACGCGAAGGGCCTAGGGCGGCCTTGGCTGGGGCCGACCAAGGCCTCGGCCTACGGGCCAACCGTGGCCTGATTAGGGGTGGCCTCGGTCAGAGCCTACGTCGGCCCAGGAGCATGAGACGGCCCCGGGCGTCCGCGTGGACCCGGTCAAGGCGCAATCCAACCGCCCCGCGAGAATAGGGGGGGTTGGTTGGGAGGTCAGCTAGTATAAAAAGAGTGATTATTGTCTGGGTTAGGGGATCTACTTCTTGGTATTATTATTACATTTCATCTTGTAATCTTTCTACAAACATTATCAATACAAAGTTGTCCCCGCGACACATATTCAACGCCTTTTTTTATCCCTTATTTATCGAGTTTAGTAATTCGGGTCTACCCCGGATTAATTAAATCTATCACAGAGCGAACTAGGAACGAACTGCGGTGAACTACGATGAAGTATTTCGGCACGGGCGCGGCAGAAGCAAATGGTTTATTTGCAAGGTTAATAATCTTGGGAAACATTAATCCGCATAAATAACGGAGCCGCATCATTAAAATTAAGGGTGTAAGGAATTTTTAGGAGAGAAGATAATGATAATTAAGGGTAACATAGGAAAATCATTAAAAATATTTAAACACAAATAATATCAACTATTCATTTGAATAAATTACTACACTAATAACACTTTTTTTTTTTTTCTGTTAATGGCTTAACATTATTGACTCTTATTAAGACGAGGAACAATAATATTCAAGTTGTTTGTAAAACAAAACAGGGGATTATTCCATCATAGGTGGGATTTTATTTTGTAGAGTACTTAACAAAGATGGATCGGAGTAGGAATCAAGAGAAGATCATTCTTTCTTGTTACAGCTATTCCGTTAATCTCCGTCATGTCCAATGTATCTCCAGGAGGGAGCTTCCAATCAAAGTGGAAGAGCAAGTGTGCTAAAGGTGACAAAGCGTTGGCAAAACCAAACCCAAGTCCTGGACATATCCTCCTCCCGCCGCCAAAAGGTAAATATTCAAAATGGTTTCCCATGAAATCAATTGAACTCTTCTCAAATCTTTCGGGTATAAAGCTCTCTGGATCTTCCCAGTATTTGGGGTCCCTACCCAAAGCCCACACATTAATCAATACCTTTGATTTGAACGGTATAGTGTATCCACACACCACAGTTTCTTCCCTGCACTCTCTGGGAAATAACAAAGGAACCGGAGGATGACACCTCAATGTTTCTTTGACCACGGATTTCAAGTATGGTAATTCGTCCATATCTTCCTCCTCCAACTTCTCTTTCCCTCTGAAAGCTTCTCTCACCTCAGCCTGTGCTTTGGCCAAAACCCTGGGATTCTTCATCATTTCTGACATTGCCCACACCGCTGTTGTTGCTGATGTCTCAGTTCCTGCTGAAAATATTTCCTGCATGCATGCATATATGCTCCAACTAACACCTTGACCCAAAAAAAAAATCCCATTTGAATTTAAGGATAGCTAGCTTATGATAATGTCAATATATAGCACTGTTGCAAAAATTCATCTAAGAGTCCTTAGGTCGTGACGATTTCTCCCCTATGCGACCAACTGCCTAGGCGCCTAACTCGACCTATTAGGCCCAGTTAACTCGTCTATTTTAATTGAGTTAGCCGAGTTCTTAACCACTCGACCTGGCTAATTTTTTTCATTTTACAAATATATATCTTTATTTATATCAATTATATAAATAAAAGAAAAAAAAAATAAATAAATAAATAAATATATATATATATATATATATATATATATATATATATATATATATATATATATATATATATATATATATATATATATATATATATATATACTTACAAGAATTACGCCTTTGATGCTGTCATGAGTGATGGGCAGTTGAAGGCCACCCTTATGCATTTGTGTTATGAGGACATCAATTAAACAATCACCACTTTCCAACTTCTCTCTGTGCTCTTTTATGATGTTTTCAATAATTCTGTCTACTTTACGGTGAGCTTTCATGATCCTGTTCTTGTTGCTGCACAGGCTGTGAAGAACCTTCCAAGACGGAAACACATCGGCAAAATCAAATTTACCCAACAACTCCGATATTTCCTTTATTTGCTCTAAGAACTCTTCTCTCCCGGTAAATACCTTACCTGCAGTAGTTATCAAATAATATTTTATATTACGTACTGTTAGCTGGATATCTCGATATCATGAACGGAATAATATAATCAGATCTATATATATTTATTTTTAAGCTAGCAGGCCTACTCTAGATCATAACATACTAATATAAATTAAGATAGTATTGTTCGATCTGATCTTATTACCGAATGCAGATTTACATATAATGGAGGACATAAGTAAGCCGATTCTCTCTGTGACATTCACCAACTGGCCG